TTGATTGATAGTTCATGAACGAACGTGAACGCCGAATTCGACTTGCCAACACAGATTCAAATATATGTATGTGTCTGTATTTATATCTCAACGCGAAAATTCAGGCCTAAATGAATGACTATATCCCCTACAAATGAGAGGTATATGACTCATGCCTATAATCTCAGAGATTCATAAGTGCGATCTGACAGAATGGACAGATAGTTCACAGAAATACGCTTTCTGAATTGGTAATTTGGTTTTACACTAGTATTAGCTTATGTACATGTGTGCATATATCGTTTATTTCTTAGGTGTGTGATATAATATTTATAAAAATCACTAACATAATCTCGTGAAACACTTATTCGACGCCACTCTTTCAGCATTTGGCGATTGCGCAACTACCTTTCACAATAATACTAGTCCCAGCTGTATGTATAAACCCAGATACACACCTTAATCCACTGTAAAGATATGCCACATAGGTTCTCAAGTTAGGTCAATTGTACCGTTCTTCGTATCTGGTTTAATTTTCTTCCGCTTGGGTGCGAGTGTTGGCAAACCGAGTTTCCAACTGCGCCGTGGGCTTAGTGTTGTGCGTGCTTTTGGAACCGTCGAGCGGCTCCACTCTGTTTTGCGCATCCTTAACTGCCTCGATAAACCGGGGGTTTTCGGCCGGCAAGATGTCGCGGCGTTTGCCAAACTGCGTTTTTTTACCATACACCACATTGTCCTGCACGTGGCGTGCGCGCTGTTTCCGGTAGGGGTGCGGCACAAACCCATGCTGACGCATCCCCATGAAAAAACCCCTTTCGGTTTTACTCAACCCCACATTCCTGAGCGTACCTACCACATACCGCTTTCTTGTTATTCTGAAACGAAATATCATCACGAGACATCACTCGCTCGTTCTTTATTTTCACTTCTGCATGCACTACACCCGGCAGCCACAGCACCAGTGAATTGGGAGGGGGTACCATCACCTTGCGCTTATCCGCGTACTCCCGAAATAATTCCGGGCCTAATTTGTCCTCCAATCCCACATAGCCCGTTTTCTCAGCCAGATGCACACCACAGAAACGGCCTACGCCTCTCGCGCCGTGTGACTGCCTCGGAGAAAGCACAGGCGCACATCACCTTCTGCAGGGCCAATGTCCATAGCCTGCACCCGTTTCAATGTGGTACTGTACAGGTCGAAATGGGGCGGGGTCAGACTCCCGCGATGCACCTTACACGAATCTATCCCGATGATCGTGTGCTCATCCGCGTCAGAAAGCGCAAAGAGCAGCGTCTTCAGCTTGGCATTCGACTTGTGGTTGATGAGTGTACTGTTGGCTTTATCGGCGTATAAGGTCTGAAAGATTACCTCATTACCCCCCACGGTGGCCGTCAGTTCGTCTCCCTTGGGTTCTGGCTGCATAAACATGAACCCAAAGTGGCCAAGTTTTACTACCGGCTGCCAGCTGCAAGATGTCTTTCCCCTGAGCCCAGAGCCGATCTTTCTCAGACAGATACGGAAACACTTCCAGATCATAGGCGGTTCTTAGCACTGCTCTAGCCTCGTGGAAGGACTCTCGTGTGCATGCGTTTGGCACGATCAATACGCCATCGCGGCACAAAGCGGCTCGCTGTGATTTTATGTCACTCATGGTATATACTGCAGTGTAATATATTGAATGTGTACAGTTATACTAGTGTATTAATCACTCATGGTATATACTGCAGTGTAATATAATTAATGTGTACAGTTATACTGGTGTATCAATCACTCATGGTATATACTGCAGTGTAATATATTAAATGTGTACAGTTATACTGGTGTATCAATCACTCATGGTATATACTGCAGTGTAATATATTAAATGTGTACAGTTATACTGGTGTATCAATCACTCATTGTATAAACTGCAGTGTAATGTATTAAATGTGTACAGTTATTATCGAATACCAAGTAGGAACACAACCATCTGTGCATAAAGTGTCTGCATCAGACGATAGGGAAGTACAATGGGGCTGTAACAGTGTTACCCGATTGCCCCAAGTGTTCGTTTAGCCGTCTGTAGTACCAGAGCAGGTGTCATATCCATCGAGGTACTGAGTCTTTCTGAGAGACCTTAAGACCGAGGGAACGTGCGAGCTGGCATATGAATGTACACTCAATCGTATGCATGTACTTACGGATTATGATAACCATTTTAGAACCCAATGGGTTTAGAAAGGCTTTGTAGCAACCTTCGCAGTAGATAGACACTTGCAGAGGTTCTAGTTTACCGGCACACACCCAACACGGGCTTTATACTCATTCACTAACAGACTAGGATATGAAATCATGCCGTATACAGTCACCGCGATGTATATTATGCAGAGACTAATCACAGCGTATATATATAATTAGACACACATCGATGGATACTGAGCTATGTCATGCATTTCGTCTGGGTATGACACTGAAAGGCGGAGAACGGCACTCATCTAATCTGACAACGGAATGTATATAAGAACAGTATAAGCAAGTCTATGCGTAATGTATATAAGAAAAGTAAAGGCAAGTCTATGCGTAATGAATATACGAACAGTATAGGCAAGTATATGCGTAATGTATATAAGAACAGTATAAGCAAGTCTATGCGTAATGTATATAAGAACCGTATAGGCAAGTATATGCGTAATGTATATAAGAACAGTATAGGCAAGTCTATGCGTAATGTATATAAGAACAGTATAGGCAAGTATATGCGTAATGAATATAAGAACAGTATAGGCAAGTCTAAAGTGACAGGACGTTCAATGACGATAATGTTTATAGCACAACAACTCACACGTACGTATAATACAATAAACCTCCATTGGGTTAAAGATACTTCACAGCACATCCATACAAACGTGCCATTTCGTCTACTAGTACGATAGTGCTGTCTATCGTCTGGTTTGATATACGCAAAGAGAAGAAGCAATGATTGAGTCCTGTTCTATATGAATGTGAAGTATACCAATCACTTCATACTGCCTGGATGTAGTGTACAAAGACGGTCACATATGACATAAGGCGTACAGAATCTACCAAGCAGGCGTAGAAAACCTCGGTCAACACACAAACAAACTACTGCTTTATGCTTAAAAATACCTTGAGTATGTCCTTCTGGTAAATCGATGATTCTTCCTGTAGCTCAGATGTGCCAGAATCCCAATCGCATCCCTTAAACAACTCATTCACAAACTGCAGGTCTTACTCGGAACCGGAACTAATTGCGTCCACACAATTGCGACCGCTGGTTTGTCACATGTTTGCTTGTATGATTCAAGTATATAATTGCTTCATCATCAACGTGCACATGATTGTAGATTGTCTCTACTGTTTGTGTATCCGTTTGCTCGTTTGCTGACACATCCACACCTCATGTGGAATGGGCTGACGCGCTTGTACTAGCAGTCTGTGACACTGTGGCCCACTTTGTTTTAATTTGTGTACATAGAACTATAGAGACGCTTCCATTAGATTGAGGGTTTTAGGGTTCTAGGGTTTTAGGGTTTTTGGGTTTAGGGTTTTAGGGTTTTTGGGTTTAGGGTTTTAGGGTTTTAGGGTTTTAGGTTTCCTCAGTTTTCGCAGCGTTTCCACAGTTTTCGCAGCGTTTCCAATGCTGGAATCTAAAACCATCTCAAGGCAAGTAATTAACTAATGCATATTATATCCCCATCGCAATGGTGGGCGTGCATATATTTAGTAGACACCTGCATTAATATAGTAGATGCCGTTACGAGACACAACAGCATGTGCGCGAAGGGTCAACCGTGTAAGCGCAGGAAATTAAATGCTTTGGTACCAATTTGTAGTAAGTTTTTATAAGTATGATGGACTGTATTACTGTCCTATGAGCTACAGATCGACCGATATTAACCTGGATTCCATAGACGGTCTTTGTCTTGATCATGTTCTAGGCCAAACATTGTTTTGTATAT